CAAGGAAAACAGGAAACAAATGAAGATAAAAAAGAAAAAGACAGAAAGAAAAAGATAATAAAAAATACCTTGAACTTGGTTATGATGGCCTTTCCAATTTCGAACCATGAGATGATATTAATCAACCATTCTTGTCAAGAACGGTCAAATAATATCAACTCGTGATGAAATCGTGCCCAAAACGAAGAAGAGACTTAACTTTGCTCAAGTTCCAGATTTTAAGACCTTAGATTCGAGAAGTTTTGGAGGTGTTTGAAAAGAGAGGGGTGTAGATTCATGTTGTGGGAGTGGAGGAGAGTCTACAGTGTGAGCTTGGTAGGGATTGGGGACGGCGCCGCCACCAGAGAACCAAGGCGGCGGCTAGGGTTCATGATTTTTAACTGATGATTCGAAGGGTTTGGGCGTGTTTTGGAGAAAACGGAACCTATATTGGGAATGAGGAGGAGGAGGGGAAGGCATGGTGTGGATTTGGGGGTCATCGGCGTAGGTTGTGTTATCGCCGTTAGCTGAATTGACGGAGAAAGCTAGGGCGGCGGTTCTCTAGGGTTTGAGAGGGTTAGAGACGGAATGGGGTCTGAAGGGGGGGGGGGGTTGGGTATGGTTCGGACACTTATATATTTAGGGGAGGGGACTTCACAACCGTCAGATCAATAAACGTAGACGGTTGAGATTGAGTCTTGGTTAATCGGCGTCGTTTTGGACACGGCCAAGGCTGGACCGGGTTGGGGGTTTTGGGCCTTGGCGGGTTCAGGGGTTTATTTGGGCTGGGGCGTGTTTTTGGACCGGTGTTATTAAAAATCAGCCCAGATTTGTACAACCTATTAAAATTCTCTGTTTTCAATTTTTCTCTTTTTATTATATATTTTTCAGATTTTGTAAGATGCAAAATTAAAATAAAAACGTGATTTATTCCCAAAATTAAACTAATTATTTCCTCAAAATTGATTAAGTCCTAATTTAAAAGGAAACTCATGACAAATTCCAAAAACTAATAGTTAAAAATGCAAAATGAACTATTTTTGTTATTTTCTTCTTTATAAAGTAACCTAATTACTAATTATCCTGAAATGCGAAATTAAGCCCTAAATGCAAATGCCAAGTATACTTTTGTATTTTTTTCATTGATTAAAATGCACAGACAAAAATGCAAACAATTAACGGAAAATGCCACGAAAATCCACAAAATTGCAAACACTTAAAGCAATTATTTTGTTTTGAGTTTATGGGAGTAATTCATATAGGGCAAAAATCACGTGCTCACACCTTACAAAATGACAAAGGTCCCCTTTATATAGGAGGTGTGAATCCCATCACAGTACATGTCTAATAAACAAAGAATTAATGCAACTAGTACAACTGTGCAATGGCTCAGTATAGATTTGTACTATTTTTGCAGATTCTGTCAGTCCTCATCGTGTACCGTCGGGGGTTTCCCGCCTTTCCATGATGATCACCGACTCGTGTCGCTCCAAGATCGGCCTTCGATGTGCCCCCTCGAGGGGAGCAATTCGGGGTCCGCACTCAGGTTCCGCTTCGAGCCCCTCGAGGCCCGGCATGGAGTTTCACAGTAGCCTCAAAGTTGATCTCTTCGATTTGGCCGTATACAGATAGTCCTCGCATTTCTTAGAATGAAAGGATAAGAAACGATCTTGACCTCGACTGTTTCGAACCTCTTGTGATGATGTTATGCTGATGACGCTGGCATTTGAAGCGATTGAAACGACCCGTCGGTTCATTCCCCTAGAAGTATTGAGTGTTCTGCCGGTCTGTCTCCCAAAAACAATGAATGCTCTGCCGGTTTGTCTCCCCAAAAGCATTGAATACGCCGTCAGTTTCGTCGCCATTACTCTATAAATAAGGGATTTCTGAAGCTAAAGCTTCATTCATTCTTTCTTCAACAATTTTTAGTCGTTCATTTTCTCTGTGTCCTCTTCTGGTCTCTTATTCTTATGGTTCAAACATGTGACCATATGGTCATAAGGCAGTAACCTCATCATTTATGCCATGGCTCTCCTTCAAAGCCGTTCTTCTTCTGAGAAGAATTATGCTGAGTTGTTGTTGTTGTTGTTGGCCCGACTCGATGAGAGGAGGGCGTCGGATTCTCCCCGTATCAGAAGATACGGACTGTAAACTGCTGCTCATCTCTCTTAACTTCAACCTGGTGTGGCACTTCATTCCTTTTTCTTTCCATGGAGTGAGGTGGCACTATCTACTAACTTTTGCATCCCACACCGGTATGATGTCTCAAGGAGTGGCTTCACAATAGTAGTGCTGACGAGACCCGTACTCGCCAAGTTCCTCACCAGGCCACAATTTTCTTTGCTTGTAAAAAGCTTTTGCTCTTTGATAGGCTATAGCCTTTTCTTCGTCTATTGCTGTTTCGGAGGAGATTCTCGAAGGTGACGTCCCAAAGATTGAAGTGAAGCCTCCAAAAAAAGGGTTATAGAGAATGTTGCTCCTGAAGATAATCCCTCGAAAGTAGATTTGGCCTCGGTCTGTTGTTTTATGCTTCTTCATTTTTGTGTAAGGGCCCCTCGTGGGCTTTGTAAATCATCTTTTATTAATATAAGAATGTCTTCACTTTGCCTTCAATTTGTGTTGAACTCCATTCTGCTTTTGTTTGTGCATAAAAAAGATGTATGACTCTAACGATTGGTCTGAATACCGTATCCGGAATATAACAATAATAAACCCTTGGGTTTTTAATTTAATTTGTACGATGCTTATCGAAGTTCTTTGTTGTCCCTATGACTGAGCTCTGATTGATCTGATGCGAATTTAGGTCACCGGGACTTCTGAGCCCAACTTGAGTGAGGGATGGGTCTCGATTTTTTGAAATAAATCTAGCCCTTTTTAGGCCTTGTCGGCTGTCCTCGAGTGAGAATTTTCTCGAACTCAAGTAGCCTTTGGATTCAGTAGTTGGGTGAACATTTGCTGTATCATCTAAAAACAAAGATAGCCCTAAGGCCTTTACAACCAGTCCTCGAGTGGGAGCCCGCTTCGAACTCAGGTAACCTCGAGCTGAGCGAACGTTGCTCAGAACTTAAAATAAAGACAACCCTGGGGCATTATAGACAGCCCCTTGGGCTAACATATTTGGGTGAGCTTCTCTTGGAACTTGAGATAAAGATAGCCCAGGGGCTTTATTAATAGTCCCCAAATGAGAACTAGCTCGAACTCGGGGGGCCCTTTGGCCAAAATAATCGAACGAGCGTTTGCTCGACCTTGAGATAAAGATAGCCCTGAGGCTTTATTAATAGTCCACGAGTGAGAACTGGCTTGAACTCGGGCATCCCTTGGGCCAAAATAATCGAACGAGCGTTTGCTCGACCTTGAGATAAAGATAGCCCTGAGGCTTTATTAATAATCCCCGAGTGAGAACTGGTCGAACTCGGGCAGCCCTTGGGCCAAAATAATCGAACGAGCATTTGCTCGACCTTGAGATAAAGATAGCCTTGAGGCTTTATTAATAATCCCTGAGTGAGAACTGGCTCGAACTCGGGTGGAACTTTGGCAAAAATAATCGAACGAGTGTTTGCTCGACCTTGAGATAAAGATAGACCTGAGGCTTTATTAATAATCCCTGAGTGAGAACTGGCTCGAACTAGGGTAGCCCTTGGGCAAAAATAATCGAACGAGCGTTTGCTCGAACTTGACTCGTAGACTGTTCTTTAATAATTTTCGACAATCCTGTTACCGATGTCTGGGTCCTGACTTCAACATCATGACATAAGTGGTTGATGAGACTGAAGGGTTGCCTTTGTATGATTCCCAGAAGCATTAATTGTAGGCGGCCGATGGTCGGCCTTTTGGCTTCGTTAGCACATTCAAACGATCTTTATAAATAGACAAACCCCATAACCTTATGGATGTCATTCTCTTAGTGCTTCCAAAATTTCATTTAGCCCTTTTCAATTTCCTTGAACTTTCCCTTCTCTTTTCCAACAATATTTTCCATCTTCTTGGATTTTTCGTTTTAGAGATGGCTAAAACTTCTAAAATTGTTCCTCAAAAGGAAATGGCTTCATCTTCCTCTCGAACGACCAAATGTAAAATGGTAGTTCCTCCTAGTATCGAGAAGTGTACCCTCGGGCCTTGTAATACATCTTCTATCTTCTAGGTCGAAAACCCCTCACCTATTCCGGGATGGTGCGAACCCATGTCTCGGTATATCAGTTTAATAACTGAAATCAAGAAAGTGAAAGCCAACTGCCGTTGGGGAGAGGCGGTGCTATTAGATATTCCTTCACAAGGAGAAGACATAACCACATACAAAGCCGGTTACCTCAGTGTATACACATATCCTTTCACCTTAGGCCCGGTAGAAGCCTCTTCACCATCGATAGATCCAGTGATCCTCGATTTCTGCAGCCAATATCAGGCGACACTTGGACAAATTTATCCATCATTCTGGCGCATTGTTTATATGATTAGGTATTTCTCATGTATGGTCGAAGGGATGCCTTTTACCCTCGACCATCTAATTAGACTGTATAGCCCCTGACTTTATAGAGGTGGCCTGATTAAGCTAAAGTGTCGAGCTCCGAAGGCCTTTTTCGCTAGCATCGATGAAGAAAAGGACCGAGGGTGGATGAGTCGCTTGTCCGAGTTAGGACCTCGGACCTGATCCTTGCTGGGAGAATGCCATTCCTCGAGGAATGGAATATGAATCGTAAGTAAACACGTTTCCCTAATCGGATATCTTCTCTTGGCTTTGAATTAACTCTCTTTGATGATACAACGGTCGAGTGGTACCCCGGCGCTGTCAATGATCTCTCGGGCTAGGTCCGATGACTTGATTCAATCTGCCATATGCCGAGCGCGTGTGGCGTGATCTAGCTAAGACCCATTAGGAGGCCGAAAATCACGGTGAGCTTTTATCCCTGTTTATATTCGAGCTCCTTAGAAGAAGATACCTTTCGCTGATACTCTCGTGCTTTGTGCCGATGTAGGCCTTTGAGAGGCCGTCTTGATGAGCGAACCCCCACCTGGGGAAGCAGATGCCCCGAAGCCTGTTAAGGAGAAAAAGAGAGAAGAAATCACCAGCTGAGTCTTCGAAGCCGAAAAAGGCTAATGTTCAAAAGCTCGAGGCCGATTCAGCGGCCTTAACTCAGGAAGTGACCGAAGGTCTTTGCGCCGAGCGTGAAGAGAGCGATGACTGCCCGTTGGCACCCAGAGGGAGAAGAAGTGTTGTTGCCTTGAAGTCAGCTGAGCCGAGGGTGGCTGAGTCGGAGGCTGCCGAGGTGGTCTCGACTCGAGATAGGGGGATTGTTGAGGGGAATTCAGATGAAGTCCCCGAACCGACCAACGATCTAAGCGCATTGGGTACCGAGGGGCACCTGGTTGATGAACCTAAAGAAACCAATGATGAAGCCCCTCGAAGGGGGGAGAGGGCCCCTGTCAAACCAGTCGAGATGATCAATGCAGGTGAGCCTCACTCGTGCCTATCATTCTCTCTTGGGCGAATACGGGATGCTCGAGATATGAAAACTCCCGTCGCGGGGACATCCCTTGGAGAGAATAGTACGTTTGAAGGATATTTTGCCGGGGTTGAGGAAGGCCCTGATATCGACGCCTCATTGATCTTTGAGGAATCCGAGAAGCTTCGGCAACAGGTAATCTTGACTTTGACCGCTGTATATTGAGTTTCGATTCTTGTTTTTCCGACTCTCTTCTTTTGTGTCCTCAGGCCTTAAAGCTCTCACACCAAGCCTTTTCCAAGTCTCAAGCAGAGTTGGCTAGATGTGAGGACGAAGTTAGGAAACTCATTTCTGAGTTGGACGAGCTTAAGGCCCTTTATGCCCAAAAGGAGGGGGAGCTAGGTGACCTTCGAGCACATTTGGAGAGGATTTCTCGAGAGTGGGCCGATCTCGATGAGAAGGTAATATGACCTTCGTGGGCTTACTTTTGTGCTCTAGCCAATCAAGCGCTAAATATCTTGCTTTGACTCTTTCAGCTCAAGCAAAAAGATGACTTAATGCGGGAGGAGCTTAGAGTCAGAGATACCGAAATCCTTGGGCTGAAGCAGCGCATGGATGAGGTGTCTTCCGATAAAGAAACTCTTCGAGAGAAGCTGACCTCGGTAGAGTGCCAACTTTAAGGGGCGAGGGGAGAAATCCTCAAGTACAAAGATCTCCATTCTGAACTAGTTGTTGAGCTATCTGCAGCTAAGTCTGAGGCCGTTGAGCTCATGTCCTCATACAGAAAAGCTGCTGCTGCTGCAAATGCTCGGGCCAGGAAGGTATCCGAAGAGGCCGAGCATAAATTATCCCGAGCTTTGGAACATGCCCGATTAAGATCTAGGAGACAGACTCTAGAGGATGTATATGCAGGGGGCATCGATTTGTCTGCTGAGATCGAGAGGGTGAAGGCCCTAGAGGAAAAATTGGCAATTCTGCTTTCCTCTAATGACGGTTCAGCCAGTGGTTCGACTAGCGTCTCGGAGGATGATGAAGACTAAGATGAAGTCCCCGAGGGGGAGGAGGCCATCGATGTTCCAGGGGTCGAGGGCCAGGCCGTTGGAGGCACAATTTCCAAGGGATCTCCATCTAGTTAAGCGACCCCGGTGGTAGATTAGGTTTTCATTTGTTCCTTTTTTGTGTAAGGGCTTCAGGCGTGAGCCTCGTAAATATGACTTTGTGAAACCTTAGCATATATATATATATAAAGAATTTTTGCTTCTCATCATTTCTTGTTTTTCCTTTGCCTTTTTCGAATAAATTTCGACGGATGTCGATAACCAGTTCGATGTGCGGAACTTATGATATAAACCCCTCAGGTTTTCATGCTCGATGAGTGGTTGATAATAGTTGACCGTTTAGGTGCTTGGTCCTCGAATCAAATTTTGACTCAGGCTCATTGACCCTTAGGTTTTCAATTTATCGACCCTTAGGCTCTTTTGGCTAGCTCTTAGGCTATTACGCATTGGCCCTTAGGCTCTTTAGGCTGGCTCTTAGGCTCTTACGCATTGGCCCTTAGGCTCTTTTTGGATTGGGTCGATGAGACGTCTAATATGGCTATAGTTTTCACTCTTTTGGCCAAAGATTTGATTATGCCTTGGCATGTTTTATGTTCGTCCAACTCTTTGACAACTCAAATAAGAACCTCGATTATGAGTCGATTGTGACGATAATTGAGTACCTCGGGAGGTTATCTTGAAGGCTGATTGTTTCGAAGCCTTTTCATTGTTTGGAGCTGATATGATCGAAGCTGTTGTGTTTATGCCGAGGGTAGCCTGATTAACCGGTTCTTTTCGAGGTATTCTCGAAGTATTTGGAGGCCTTTTGTTTTATAGCGGCAGTCGGACATCTCCGAGCTGCGTTAATTCGGCCATAGCCTTTTAGTTAGACCATAGTCTTTATGTTTAGCCGTAGCCTATAGCCCCCGTGTATGGTGACCTCGGCATCTATATCGAGGGTATGCCTTTTTAGGGGTCTTACAAGTTCGGATATATAGCCTTGGCCTTAATATCGGGGGTCATGCCTTTTTTTAAGGTCTTATAAGTTTGAGCACGCCTTCTTGAGGGCTTACAGATTTGATGTTGCCTCAGTGGGCTTACGAGCTTGAAGTTTTCCTGATCAAGGTCCTACGAATTCCGAGTTTTTGATGGCCCGATGAGCTGACTGTCGAAGACAGTCCCCGAGTGTTCGAGAGTTTTTGGCTCTTGGACCATTTTACGTGATAGTAGTGAACTTCTTTGAGGTGCAAAGTGTTTTGATAAGCAAAGAGGTTTCCTCAATTACTTGATACATGCTTACACGTTTTTGTTGCTTTTAGAGGCTCGATTATACTACATGGACACAGTTCATTTAACCGTTTGGCCCAATACAACATTCTCCTATCGAGGTCCTCCTAGGCATAGTTTGATTTCTTGCAAGAGGTGACCTCCTGGGGTGATGCCCCCCCAGTATTTGAGGTTGATTGAGGAGAAACCTTGAATACTTGATGAGTTTTCCTTAGGTAGCATATAGATGTTGCCTTGTTAAAAACGTAACCGGTAAAACCCCTTCGTGATAAAAACCTGATCTAAGGGAAAAAGAGCGCAACGCATGCTTTAAAACCCAAGGTCTTCGAGCTGAGGGAGATTCAATTTCTTTCAATCGAACACCTACAGTAAGTTAGTATAAAACATAAAATAAAAAGGAGAGGGTCGTACCTTAGCAATGATGTTTGAGTCTCGCTGTGTTTCATTCTCTTGATGTGAGGACGCGGCACGGTCCTTTATTCACCCATTGGGGTGTAGCCGAGAATGTCGGTTGCGGTTGTCATTTGGCTATTTGTTTGTCTAAATGCTCCTTCGCGATGGAAGGCGTCAATACTAGTGCAATGTCGTGCACTACGAACATCTCCTTTGCTGCATGCTTCTCACCGTACACTGTTTTATCCCGTCCTTGGTTGGAAATTTCATCACTTGATGAAGGGTTGATGGCACTGCCCTCATACTGTGTATCCATGGCCTTCCAAGTAACGCGTTGTATCTCATGTCACCTTCGATGACATGAAATTTGGTATCTTGGATTGTACCGGCCACGTTGACCGGGAGGATGATCTCCCATTTCATCATCTCGCTCGCCATGTATAATCCATTGAGGAATCGGGAGGCGGGTATGATCTGGTCGAGCAGTCCTAGCTGTTCCACCACCCTCGACCTGATTATGTTGGCCGAGCTACCTGGATCCACGAGCACACGTTTGATTTGAAATTTATTCAAAAGAAAAGAAATTACCAGTGCGTCGTTATGAGGCTGAGACAAGGCCTCGATGTGCTCTTCGCTGAATGTGAGAGCATCCTCTGGTACGTAACTCCGAGTTCACTTTTCTTTGGTAATGGATATTTCAGTTTGTTTGATGATGGGTCCCTGTAGGGCGTCGATCCCTCCGATGATCAAGTGGATGACGTGCTGCGGTTCTTCTGGTTCATTCTTCCTCCTCACCTCTCTTTCTCGAAGGTGGTTTTTGGATCGGTCGCTGAGGAATTCTTGAAGATGCCTTCGCTGATTAGTCTGGCTACCTCTTATCGAAGTTGTATGCAATCCTCGGTCTATGACCGTGAGTGCTGTGATACTTGCATACCAAGTTAGGTTTCCTTTGTGAAGGATCCGACAGTATGGGTTTTGGCCACCTAGTAGTTTTGATTCTACCTATGGCTGACACGATGCCTGAGACATCAACGCTGAAATTGTATTCAGATAGTCGGGGTGCCTTTGATGGCCTAGTATGCCTATCGAACCCGGCTTTACTCATGAGTCCCCAGGAAACTTGTCCTCGATCTGACCTTCGATCGCCTTGAGGCACATTACGTTTCGGGGCATTCCTTCGATCTTTTATCTAAGGCTGGTATCTTTCTTTGTATGATATCGGCTCCCTTTCTGCAAACCTTTGTTCCTTTGTTACAAACCTGGTAGGATATACTGAGCCCGAAGGGGCTCCTAATTGGTCGTCTTCGACCCTGATCTTCGACTGGTACCTGTTGTGTATGTCAGCCCAAGTTACGGCGGGATACTCAATCAAATTTTGTTTTAGCTGCTTCGAAGCTACAAAGCTTTGCTCGTTCATGCCCTGGGTGAAGGCCTGTACTGCCCAGTCGTCGGAGACTGGCGGTAATTCCATTCGCTCCATCTGAAAGCGAGATACAAATTCCCTTAGCATTTCATTTTCTCTCTGCTTGATTTTGAAGACATCGGACTTCCTAGTGGCGACCTTGATGGCACCGGTGTGTGCCCACACAAAAGAGTCTGCCAACATGGCAAATGAATCTATCGAGTTCGGGGGTAGGTTGTGATACCACATCATGGCCCCCTTCGACAGTGTCTCTCCAAATTTCTTCAGCAGGACAGATTCAATCTCGTCGTCCTTTAAGTCATTCCCTTTTACAACATAAGTATAAGCGGTGACGTGCTCATTGGGGTCCGTGGTCCCATTATACTTCGGGACATCAGGCATTCTGAATTTCTTCGGGATGGGCTTCGGAGCTGCACTTGATGGGAATGGTTTCTGCATGAACTTCTTTGAATCTACACCCTTCAGAATCGCAGGTGCGCCCGGGATCTGATCGACCCTTGAGTTATAAGTCTCCACCTTTTTATCGTTATCCTCTATCTTCTTTTATCCTAATTCAATCCTCTTGGTGAGGTCCTTGAGCATCTTCATAATAGCGGGGTCTGTTGCTGACCCATTGTTACTCGATCTTTCTGGTGCCTGCTCGACTCGAGGAGCCGTTTCCGGTGTTGTTGTGCTTGGAGTTTTTTGTTGGCTTTGTAGCTAAGCAATGTCCACTTGTTGCACTTGTAGCATCTCAAAAATGAATTGAAGACTAACGTCTCTTTCTTCCCCGCGCACACTTCCGTTGGCATAAGAGTTTACGTCGATATGCACGGCGTTGCGTGAGCTCACGTCGATGGCAACTTGTGCTAGTGCCTCCCCTGGGTTTTGCGGTGGTACACCGACATCTGCTGGTGCTACCCCTGGGTTTTGCGGCCGTACACCAGCGTCTGCACCGTTTACTCCCTAAAGCCCAATACCGTTGTTTTCGCGTGCGTTTGCTGAGTCAGACATTTTGACCTGAAATCAGAGATTCTTGGACAAGAAAAAGTGTGAAGAATAACTTGTGTTTTTAGAAAACCAGCACTAAAACAATCACTATTATTTTTAGCCCCACGGTGGGCGCCAAGCTGTTTACCTTGAAAATGGTAACTATAATTATATGTGATTATGTGGTTCTAAAAATACGTGATTTATTTTAATACTTGTTGTTAAGCAATAGATGCTAGGTATAAGTAAAGAGAACAAGATGTGCAAACAAATGGGGTCACAAGGCTGGACCTCGAGCTGGCTAGAGCAAGACCTCGTGGTCTAGGTGGGGTTAATAACGATGAGCTATTAACAAAGAATCAATGATAATGAGGGCCTTAAAGATTTCCTTTTATGATTAATAATGAGCAATAAATGAGGAACAGTGAATGATCAATGTGAAAGTAAGCAATAAATGTGTAGAACAATCGTGTTAGCAAAGAGAGCAGAGAATGTTGTGTTATATTCAATATAAAGGTCCCTTACAAAATGACAAAGGTCCCTTTTATATAAGAGGGGTGAATCCCAAGACCGTACATGTCTAATAAACAAAGAATTAATGCTACTAGTACAGCTGTGCAACGGCTCAGTATGGATTTGTACTATTTTTGCAGATTCTGTCAGTCCTCATCGTGTACCCTCGGGGGTTCCCGCCTTTCCATGATGATCACTGACTCGTGTCGCTCCGAGATCGGCCTTCGATGTGCCCCCTCGAGGGGAGCAATTCGGGCACTCAGGTTTCGCTTCGAGCCCCTCGAGGCCTGGCGGGGAGTTCCATGTAGCCTCAAAGTTGATCTCTTCGATTTGGCCGTATACAATAATGGATTTGAACTAATAGTACTTTGGACCTTGTGAAAGACGGATTGGAAGCCGCGTTGTTTGGCACAAAATG